TTTAAAATGTTTTATTGAGTCTAATATATTCCAAATATTGTTTTAATGTGTAATATTACAATTGAGATGTTTTAATTTTATTTGTATTAAATGTTTTTCAAATTCAATGTGCATTTTACACCTCAGTGTACCTCTGTTAGAATTAGCCACTTTTCATGTGCTAATATCCACATATGGCTAGTGGTTACCATGTTAGCGTAGTTTTAGAGTATATAGTTAAAAGTTGAATAATTTGTCTTAATTGTAGACATGGAATTAAAAGTTATTATAAGATTAAAATGAAATATCAGTGATGGGAATATGGCAGAAGGAAATTATGCCTCATAGCTTAAAGTATCCCTTCTTTGATATATCAAGAAAACAAGGCTGGGTACCGTGGGCTCATGCTTGTGATCCCAGCACTTTGGGAGGTCGAGGCGGGTGGATCACGAGATCAGGAGTTTGAGACCAACCTCGCCAATATGGTGAAACCCTGTCTCTACTAAAAATACAAAAATTAGCCTGGCATGGTGGTGCGTGCCTGTAGTCCCAGTTACTTGGGAGGCTGAGGCAGAAGTACCACTCGAACCTGGGAAGCAGAGGTTGCAGTGAACCGAGATCACACCACTGCACTGCAGCCTGGGTGACAGAGCGAGACTCCATCTCACAAAAAGAAAAAACAAAAAAGTCATGGGTACATGAAAAGCCGTCTCATAAAAGAAGAGTATCCAGATTTCTTGGTTCTCAGGTTTGCATTACAGTAAAAAGTTTGTTTCCAGGGTTTCTGTAGACAGAAGCAAAACCTTAATAGGTTAGAATTTATTTGGGAACAAGAGATGGACTTTATTTGTGGATTAGACTTTTCTGAATGCACTAGATAACTAAATAGCAAAAAAAAAAAAAAACCTAGAGAAACCCATCTAAAAATGTAATTGTAGCCTACTGCTTGGGGTGAATAGTGGGTGGTCTTTGCAGAACAGATCACTGAAAAGACCACCTGCTATTTAAAACAAAAAAACCAAAAAACTTTCTTTGAATTGGATCCCCTGAAAATAGGACACCAAAAGATAATATAAATATAGGCCACCCTTTTGAAAGGGATATATTTTTTATAACCTGATATAAGGCACTATGGCTTGCTTTCAATATATGGAGTGTCTATCCTACTTAGCATGCATAATAGCATTCCACAGCTTTCTGAGTTACTAAAGGAAGGTCTCATCTTCAGCTCTTGCCTTCACGTACCATCTGTTCTTTTTCAAAACCACAGTGCCTCAGCTGTGCTGTAGAAATTGAGAAAGTTAATGACTTCTAGCTCTGTCTTCTATTTTGTGGCACTAGGTCGCTCCAAATATCTTTCACTATCTCAATTTCTCCACCTGTTAAGTGGGGATAACGATGATCAAATAATGTGCACAACGTCAGCAGGGGTTGGAAGTGTTCTGTTTTGTCTTTTTATTTAGATGGAAAGAACATGGTGTTGTTTTAGTGCTGTAGAAAAAACACAGAAAATGTCCTTTGCTATTTAGCCACTCATATGCTTTTCTTGTTCTAAAAGATCCAACTTTCCTTAATTCAGTTTGGCAACAAATGGGCATCTCCTTCAGGTAAAACCTGCTTCATAACAAAAATAAAAGGATTTGACAAGGCGCTGGGACAGTTTCCAGTACAGTCCAGGACATTAGAAGATAATTCAATGAAAGAGATATAAGGTCTGAGAACACAAAGAATGACTCTTAATTTTATGCAGCAACAAAGCATGTTTACAACAGACAAAATGGGGCATCGAACAGAAGATTTTTATAAAGCAAACGTACTCACACCTGAAGAAAATTCTCTTTTTGTTTGCTTGCTTGATGTGGCTCTATCTTGTGCTGACAAAACACATTCTTTGGTGTATTATTCTTTGTGATTCTTCTCTCTTTTGTCCCTGAGCCCTGTAATGATGTATTATCTCTATAGAGAGCAGGGTGTGCTTTATGATGGATGAGAGATCCCATAGTGAAGGAGATCCATCATCTGTTACAGCTGAGTTAACTGAGTGACTCCGCCTGTGGCCAGTTGTCTGGAAGGACACTTTCAAAAAGGATCTGGATATGGCATGACATGCACTTGATTTCTGGAATGTGGCTGACACTGACACAAGAACCTTAATAAAACCACAACCCTAATGGCCAACTAAAATGAGAAAAACGTGGGGAGGAGGGCTGTGATAATTTGGACATTTGGCCGATTTCAGTGAAAGAATAAAATATGAGCCCTAAGAGTGTCCATTTCTCCTAATCAGCCTGCAGAGCTGCTGAATATGTCTTAAAGAGGCTCATTTGGAAACCTCTGAGTTTCCAAATAATCAATGAATTAGTCTTCATTGATCTGCACTGTTAAGAACTACAGAAGTTTTGGGGTTTGTTTGTTTGATTTTTTGGTGTGTAAAATTAAAATTTAGTGCGTTAGAATGCAGCACGACGTTACTTAAATATCTTGAGCTTAGAAAAACGATCTTGGTTGAGGTGGCTTTACTCTTTCCAGCTGGGTAGCCTTAAAAAGTTCATTTGCCCAATCTCAGCCTCCCTTTCCTCAACTTTTATGTGCATATTTTCACCTTGATATGTTCCCATATTGTGCTGTCCAGTATGAGAGCCACTAGGCACGTGTGGGTATTGTGTTCTTGAAATGTAGCTATTGCAACTGAGGGACTTTTTGTTCTTCATTTTAAGTCATTAAAGCCAAACTTAGTCAAGGCAGTATAAATTTGTTTTAATACTAATTATTTATTATAAAATTAGTTAAACAACATAGCAAAATGTATTTATGTTCCTTTTACCTTTTTAACCTACCTACTAGAAAATTTAAAATTGTAGCCAGGCTCAGTGGCTCCCAACACTGTGGGAGGCTGAGGCAAGCAAATCCCTTGAGCCCGGGAGTTTGAGACTAGCCTGGCCAACATGGCAAAACTCCATTTCTATTTTAAAAAATACAAAAAATTTAGCCAAGTGTGGTGGCACATGCTTGTAGTCTCAGCTATTTGGGAAGCTTAGGTGGGAGAATAGCTTGAACCCAGGAAGCAGAGGTTGCTGTGAACCAAGATCACACCACTGCACTCCAGCCTGGGCAACACAGTGAGACCCTGTCTGAAAAAAACAAAACAAAACAGAAAATTGTATTGTATCGTAACTCTTGTTATATTTTGGCGGGGGCTATGCTATGTGCTATGCTATGTTCTAGCTAGTGCTATGCTAGGAAAATGATTTCAATTAACTATCATTCTACTTCCATGGCTATGTAGTATTGAAAATAATATTGTCATATTAAAATACTTCCATGGCTATGAATGTTCAACCAAACTATTAATGAGCTATATTTGTCCCTTTTTCTATAGATATAATTATTTTTTCTTTTTCTATTTTAAACATTAAAGCAGTTTTAATAAGGGAGAGCCTATATCCTTGATGAACGGGGATAAAAATATTTCTTTTTTTAGGAATATAAGCTCTTCACATTTACGTTAATCAGTGTCTGCTTTGCAACTTCAAGTAATACCTCTTATCTAAGATTTAACATTTTTTCTTTTTTTTTTTTTGAGATGGAGTCTCATTCTGTTGCTAAGACTGGAGTGCAGTGACGTGATTTCAGCTCACTGCAACTTCCACTCCCTGGGTTCAAGCAATTCTCCTGCCTCAGCCTCCAAAGTAGCTGAGATTACAGGTGCCTGCCACCATGCCCTGCTAATTTTTGAATTTTTAGTAGAGACGAGGTTTCACCATGCTGGCCAGGCTGGTCTCAAACTCCTGATCTCAGGTGATTAACCCATCCCAGCCTCACAGCTGGGATTACATGTGTGAGGATCCACGTCTGGCCTTTTTCTTATTTTAATAATATGCCTCAGACATGTCTTCTGGAGATTAAAGGCTAGCTTTAAGAAAGTTGCTAAGTTTAATAGCTCTCTCTGAGTTGAAGGACGATAGGGATATGTTTTTGCTTATTCTGTTTAATTTGAGGAGAGTAAATTTTCTAGATTTCAAAAGAAATAAAATATTTGCTTTTTCTTCATCAACAAGGAAGATCTTGGAGCTGCTAGATCTTTAAGAGCAAAGTCTCGACCTTTCCTGCACAGCCTCTGACATTTAAAGGCCAGGGCAATCAAACCTATTTCAGAGGTGAAAACTGCCAGTTCAAGATGTCATCAGTCAGCCCTTCCCAAGATGCCATATTCATGGCTAGGGATTGAGATCAGCATGTCATAAAGCCCTAAACACAGAACAGAAGAAACACATTTAGACATATGGTTCCACATGGATTATATATTCCCTGAATAAGATTGATTCTTAGGCTAAGGGTCAGGCTTATTTATCAAATGATAATGCCTGTCAATTCAAATATTATTGAAAATAATATTGTCCTATTAAAATACTTTATTGACTACATATTAGTTTGTCTTAGGAAAACATCTTTACTCTAAATATCTTAAAATCATCCAAATAGGATGTTTTGTCTCCTTTAGTTCAGAGTAATATACTATATTTTTTAGGGTTGAGACAATTTTCTTATTTTCTTTAGTATCTTCTCCATGCTTACCAACGTGGGGAGTTTTCAGTTTCTGCGGCCGCCCCGAATGGCATCTAATCAGCATCATTAAAGTTTTGTGCTTTGTCTTTTATCTGGATTTTCAGTGAAAGGAGCCTAGCTTCTTTGTCATGTGCATTTCTCTTTTCTTATTGAATTTTTTATCATTGTAATTCCAACTAATTTTCTCAAGAACCAAGAAATATTCCTTCACCCTAGCTGCCTTTGGAGAACTTCCAAAGACAAATCACTGAATAGTGAAACAGCATTGATATACCTAACCTTTTTATATCATTCATTCATGTGTATTTTATTTTTCTGGAAAGAGGAAAGGTAGGATATGGTTCATTGAACTGAGAGTGTTTCTGAAAGTCTTTTCTTTTTCTCCCTTTCTTAGAGCGATAATCACTGATAGTATCTTTTTCTAGAATAAGATGTTTGTATATTCTTGGCATTAGGAACTCTCCTCCATTTGCTGCCCTTGTTGATGACTCGAATCTAAGATGACTACTGACAATCTCTAGGAGAGGAAATCATTTCTCACAAGTAAGTTGAAATGACAGACCTTGCAAATAAAGATTTTGTGTTGATACAGATGTGAAAACAAAGCATATCCTCAAACATTAGAACATTCGATTCCTAGTGTAGCAGGGCATTTATCACAGTGTTCTTGGAGACGAATCATCTGCCATCTACAGAGAGAATATGAATATTGTCGGTGGCACGGATCGTCTTTTTAAACATAGCATACAATTAAGGCCTCCACAGTGTAGCTCAATTAGAGAAAATATCTTCATATTTTTATTGTCTCAAGCTGGTCCAATTGGCTGTTTCATTGCCTGAGATTTTGGGGTAACTATTGAGCTGGAAAATCTATCTGTATTTTAATGTAAAATAAGAATTCTCTAATTCCAAATCATACACAAAAAGTGTATTTTACAGGGAATGTGATAAAACAGAACATGTTAATTCCCTTCTGAGGGAACCAGGCTGCCTTCTGGGTGCTCTCCCTCTCACTTTCTCTTTCAGTATTACTGATACCAAAGTCATTTCTTATTGACACTGCATATTTGTGCATATGTAAGGGTGTAAGAATTTAGCACCATTGACAACATGAACCCTGACACCTCCTTTTAACTTAAATACGTTATGTGGCAGGAACAGAATTCTCTTAAATCACCATAAAAGGCCATTGGTAACTACCAGAAATGAGTGGAAATACTGAGCTGTTTACACAGTAAAATCACTCCTCAGTACCAGCACTTCAAGAACAAAATGAAAAGTGAAGTGGGAAAATGTGGGCTTTGAACCAAACATTTTTCCTGTGTTTTATTTTTTCAGTGGAGTAAGGAGCGGTGCTTTTTGTTGTTAGAAAAAAATAAATAAATGTGTGTGCTTCTTACAGAAAGGCAAATAATTAAACATGGTTTACTCATTGTGTTCTTTACTCTTGGCTATCCATATGAAAACATTCTAAAAAGAGAAATCTCATGTTATTACAAAGACATGGGTTAAACTGAAGTGTGATTATTTTATTTAACAGATTTAAGAGAATTTTTCAGGCAAAACTCTTTCTATGTCCTGTTACCTGACCACAGTAACAATGATTTGTTCATCTGTTTACAGTGACTTCCTCATGATAAATGACCCTATTGAACAAATTCTTTTAGAGGTTCTGATGGTAAATAATGGCCAAACATTCTCTCTAAACAAAGCATCAACCATTTTCGAGTTACATTGAACAGGTATATTAGACAGGATAGGCCAAGTAATTCTGTAGTAACAACCACAAAATTTTAGTAGCTTACAAAAATAAAAGGATTTATTTCTTCTTCATGCTACATGTCTGCTGTGGGACAGCTGTGGCTCTATTCTACATTGTCTTTATTCTAGAATCTGTCACCCATTAGCTGCTCACTGTTTGATAAGTGAGTTAACGAAAGCAGGAGAGAGCATGCAAACCATGCTGTCACTCCTACAGTTGGGCCGCAAAAGTGATAACATTTGCTCCTTTTTCACTGACCCAAACAGGTCACATGGCCAAATTTGTGAAACAGTACGGTGATGCATCAGCCTTTCACAAGGAAGGGGAGGGACCAAATGTATGTGAAGAGTAACACAATCAACCTCATTGATTATATATCCCCTTTAGAATGGAGGTTAGAACTCTAAAAATAGCTGATGACTTTATCAATTTACAATTAAAAAAAAAAATTTTTTTTTTACAACTTTTCATCTTGAAAACCTAATTGCATCAGCCCCCCGTGGCCAAAAAAAGTGCATGTTCATGTTTCTAAAACTTAAAAAACAACTATGTAATATATATATGCTTGGAGTTGGAAAACAATCAGCTGAAGTTTGAAGGGAGGGGCAGAAACGGCCCTTCCATTAGGATTCAAATTAGAACCAAATTGTTATTTGCCAATTTACCAAATAAAATCTTGGCTTATACCTGTGCCAGGTCAGCTAAAAGATAGACATAACTATTCATTATAACAGATTTTACTAGAGTCCAATGTATTTTTAAATTTAAAATGGATTATATCATAAAATTTATTTTGAAGAGTAATAAGGAGACATTATCACAGAAGTCTCTGATTCTTTGTTACAAATATTTGGTTTAATAACTGTGAAAGGGCAACAAAAATTTGGTAGACATTTTTCAATCACCAATTTTTTTTTAAATAGCTATAGCCAACTTTGGGGAATCTTGAAGGAACATATTCACCTTTGAAGAAATATATTCATGTATTTCTCTGTTTCTGCATATGAAAATCACTTAATGTAATTTGGCATTAATATTCTAGTTCCAAGTAATCTGTGTAAGTACTCTCCTGGAAACCTCCCTCTCTTGTTCTGGATTCATAATTCTTCATTTATTCACTTATTTTCATGGAATTGGGGCAGTTGTTAAAAGTTGATCAATTTAACACTAGTAATATTTTTTACTACTTAATGGATCTTTGTTGAATTTCATAAATTTAGCACCAGTAATAGCTGCTACTTTATAATGACTTGGTAGAAAATAGTTTGTAAGCAGGAAATTTGAAGGTAAAGATTAGTCCTTAGGTGTATGGAAAGAGCTGATGATTGGAGAGAAGCTCAGAGATCCTGACAATTTGAATCAGAGCCAGAGGAAGTGGAAGGGCACACATGAATTGTGAAGTTGAGTCACCGTGGACTTCATTTTCTTGTTGTAATGTTTGTATTGCTGTTCATCTTATTATATATTTATGGAGCATGGTTTGTGTGCTTGGTGATTTATAACAACATAAACACAAATCACTATCCTCAGGAGCTCACAAACCAGAGGAGAAAACAATGACAGACCTGCAAATATACAATGTAGTGGGAGAAAGAAGGTGCCCCTTTTTATTTACTTTTAATTTTTCAAATCTCTATTAAATCATTTCTGTGCAAAATATGCACAGCCATACTTTCTTTCTGGCTTATCTTCATTGTGGAGTTATGGAAAGGACAGATAACTATTTCTTTTCTCCAAAATGTCCAAGGTTATCAAAGCAGGGCCCTGTCTTGTTATCCTCAATTTTGACTTAGAAGTGGACTCATCAAAATAGCTATTGCTTATCGTACTTTACATTATATAAAAATCTGATTTTTAAACTGTCGAACTAGTACACAAACATCTAATCTGCATTGGCTAATACATCTTCAGTGTAATGGTGAGCATTTTGCTATCTTGAATGTTTTGTATTATATTATTTATAAACATAGGATCAAATGGTATTTTGTTGCAGTTGAGGTTTAATTTTAAATATTAATATTTAAAATAGGCCAAATAAAAAGGGAGATTTCACAGATGAGGATGAAGTGTGTATTTCAGGTTGTGAAGTTCAAGAAATACTGTGAATAATGCTCTAAGTCTTTGTCTGAGAGGTACTTGTGAATTTTATGTCTTATGGATTTCGCTATTTTGTTTTAGCTATTTGAATCCAAATATTTAATATCAAATTCAGGAAATTAAAACTCACTGAATAAACATATGAAAAATAATGTAGTATGGATGCTGGAATTTTACTCTGGGGGTTCAAATTCTTCCTAGCTCATGAGAAGCTAATATATATAAAGTATTTGATACATAGTAAGTAGTCATATTCTGTTGTCTGACCTTGAACACATTTTTCTATACTTCTGAGCTCTCTTTTTCTGTTAAGTTGAAATAATACTTCTAAAGATTTTTATGAGGATTAAATGAATATTAACAATGTCTCATGATATGTCTCACAGTTTGTAGGTACTGCATATACTTTCAATTCTTTATCATTAGGTACACATTTTTGAATCATCAAATTCACTGGTGTTACCTTCAAAACAAGATGTAGGGTGAGAAGATGTGGTTTTGAATTTCAACGCAGTCAGTAACTGGCTGGATTTTCCTGGAAAAAAATTAATCACCTCATTAAAAATATTGAAATATTAATAGCATGTCTCAAAGCCTTATGAAATTTAAATTCAGTGATAGTATACAAATAACAGGCCAAATAATCCTCCCACAAATATTTACTGAATATTCACTATGCAATGTCACTTTTGTTAAGTTATGGGAATACAAGATTATATAAGATGTAATCATTGACCTTAAAGTATGTGGTAATAGGTGATCATCAATATATGCTAAATTTGACCTCACTCTTTCATCCTTTCTTTAATTAAGAAAGTAACATGTTAGTGTTTTTGATTGCTACCTTGAATCCTAGGTTCTAGCTAGAAGACACTTTGGTAGGTCATGGCTATCAGAAAGCATCTAGGCTAGAAAGCCCTCATGCCATGTAGAAAAATCCTATGTTATTTGGAAACTCTGGGATAAAAACTGCCTGTTACTTTGATAGAAATTGTGCATTGAAATGAGTCATTCAGTTGTATTCAGGTAGCTGGCAGTAGACATTAATTTGTTAGCATGGTGATGATGTCACTTTACAAGTGAGTTAAAGGATGAAAGTTCCAGGTGGAAGAGACTTGATGCTCCTCTGAACTGCCTGGATCCCTGGCCCTGCACTCAGAGTTGAAGATCAACAACCTACAGATAGGAAACCCGCAGCTTACCATCTGATAATCCTTGGCTCTGACTGCTAGAGGTATGTTGGCTTTCTCTGCTGAATAGACAATTATCTGTCCACTTAATGTGGCATTGAATGTCTTGCTGCTGATTTATTTATTAATGCTGGACCTTGGGCCACCACAGAAACATGTAGAGCTTGTTTTGGATCTTTCGTGTAATATATGCCTCACTCTTACCTGTAGGCATCTCAGGATTTATTTCATGGACACAGAGTGAATATATTGTTCAAATTTCAGTTACATCCTTTAACAGAATTTGCTCTTGACTTGGAGTAAATTGCTTTAATCTCTTTCAATCTGACTTTTCATCTGTAAAATCGGAGAAAACTAAAGTAAAACATTACAGAATGCTTAGCATTGTAACTGGTACAGATTAAAGACTCAGTAAATGTTAGATGACTAGACTGATTCCTGGCAGAGCAAGAAAAGCAACTCTACTTTCCACAGTGGTTGAATTAACTTACACT